ATCTTTGGTGGGTTTAAAATCACGCTAGAAAGGATATATCAATTTAGTTGATTTTAGCTTCTGAAGCTCAAATTTTATAGCAATGAGATTGATAACGAAATTGAGCGCTAGTGTAAATTTTAGACCTGAATTCTATATTATGGATTCATATAGCTAGAAGGGTTTCTGGCCTATGATTGGGATCTTTCTGAATATCTTTTTCGAATTTGACCCTAGAACCCCCAATTTTGTTCTACTAATTTTTATACATATGAAAAGTTAAAATATCAAAAGTTTGATATTTATATTATGATTATTAATCAATAGATATATATTAAGATTCTTAGTTTATAGCTTTATTATTATATATTATAATTGAATCATTAGAAAATAAGCTAAAGTGTATTACATTTATTTTAAATAGTCCTTATTATCATAATGCTAATTAATAATTATTTTAGAAAATTAGTTAAAATAAGTATTTAATTTTATAAAAATTGGATAGTTTATAAAGCAGAAAAACTATTAATAGCAATTATGCACAGGTATTAACAAAATAAAATAAATATAACCTATTTTGTATAATAAATGTTAATATTTTAGATTACTTATATAATCAAATATCAAGTATATTTTAGATTAAATATAATAAAAGGTACTAATATTAAAACAGTAATTAGAAATATTTGTAAAACATCTGTTATATATTTAAAATCAAATCAGAATAAAAGGTAAATTTCTAAAATCAAATAAAATAACTAAAGAATATTATCTGATAAATATAAAATTTCTTTAATTTAATATAGCTTAAATTCAAATGACATTAATATTACTTTCTTTTATAAAAGATAAAAATCACATAACGCAAGTTTTATGAAATAAAATATTTAAATTATAAGAAATTATAAGTAATAAAATAAATAAAATTTGAAAAATATATAGCATTTTAAGGAATTAAATTTTTTTTGTGAAGTTCCTATTAATTTAGATTACCAAATAGTTAGAATTTTTAAGATAATCTATATTACTTAACATATAATTACAAAAGAAAGAAATATATAATAACAAATTTTAATTATCTAAATTAAAATTAAATTAATAAATTGAATTCAAATCTTTCTTAAACTTAATTCAAGATAAAAAGTTTAATTCTAAAGTATAATTAATTTAACAAAAAAGCAATAAGTATATTTATTGTAAAAGTTTTATAAGTCCAGCCAGGTTAATTACAATACTATTTATTCTAATTTTATATATAATTAAATAAGATAATAAGATAATAAATATCACAAATAAAATGTATGTATATAACTATATAATAAATAAAACAATCAGAGAAATATGATATATTTGCAGTGTTTGATATCTTTGATATTTCTGATATGCGCCGCAGCTACTGAGCCATCCCCGGTAATTCTATCGGATACTTCGCCGACAGTTACTACAAATTATAAAAATATCGGTTCATGAAAATCAGCATGAACTGAACTAACCCTAAATTGTGACAAATGATATGTGACAATATAAGATTCACACATCGAAAAAAATATCTGCTCGCAGAATTTCTTAGAAATAATGAAAAAATGGTGTGATACAGGGTGACGAATTTGACAAATAATAAATTCACATAAGCTACCATTTTTGTTGGCGATGCGTGAACGCTTTCAATTCACGTGACATACCGGATAACCGCATTTAATTATAATTATATTAAAATCTATATTATATATATATTAAATATATAAAAGTAATAAAAGTAATAATTATTACTTAACCAAAGAAAGAAAGTAAATAATTAAATCACATATTTATATTAATACATAAAATAGTAATTTTTTCACAAAATATTATATTTTACATTAAATACATTTCAATAAATATTAAAAGAATTTCCGCTAGAAGTAATCCGTAGAAACATGATTGCTATTGTACAAATGAATAAAGTCAAAAACAATTGAACTAATTGAACTCCTGTGGTCGTACAAGGTGTTTTCTATTTAGAATAAATACCGATCTTTATGGATCATCCATTTTGAATTTTATTTTGATTAAAAAAAAAAAAAATGTCTTCCGAAACATATCATACGGCAAAGGATTCTTTTTTCGTTAATTCTAGTGAACATATTCAAATTGAAGTTTTGCATTATCCTCCTATTAATAAAACTCAGGTAAGCATTAAATTATAAACCCACCCAAATTCTTTTTTATTATTATTATTAATAATTATCATATAAACATAGAATTATCCACCAATTTTATTCATCCATGGAGGTTTTCTTGCGGCTTGGTCTTGGGATGATTTTTCTCATTGGTTTTCGGATAAAGGATTTGATTGTTATGCAATGAGGTAAAATGAAACATTAATTAAAGGCTCGTTTGAATTTCAATTAAAATGAATTTTATCTTAAGTTTTCGAGGACATGGACAAAGTACGAAGACTCCTAATAAGGACAAATGGTGGTCATTAAATGAAATTACACAAGATATCTCAGCTGTAACTGATGAAATTATTGCTAGAACAAAAGTTAATCCTATCCTTGTTGGGTAATGATAGAAATTATTATTTTCGCTTTTTATTTTTTTAAAAAAAAATATTGTTCAAAAAATTTGATCTATTTTATTTATTTTCACCACCCCGTCAGACATTCATTTGGAGGAGCGTTGCTTCAAAATTATCTTGAAGATAATCACCAGAAAGTATCTGGAGGGGTTTTGTTGGCATCACCGTCGCCTTATTTACACAAAACAAGCTTCTTTAAAGTCATTTCAAACATCATTTCAAGTCACCAAATCTTCCCATACCTTAAAGCAATTATCACATCAAATCCGTATGCCACGATCGAAACTCCCGAATTAATGAAAAAACTCTTATTTTCTTCAGCGTATCCCGATTCCATGGCTAGAGAAATTCACCCAAGATTAGAAAAATTTGGGTTTCTCTCGGGATTTTTGGAACTAACAAAACCATTTGTTGACCCTTCAAAAATCAAATGTCCTATGATTGTAATTGGCGCCGAAGAGGAAAATGCATCCTTTGATAATGTAAAAGTGTTATCAGAAACTGCCAAAGTTTATGGCGTCGGATATGATATCGTTGGAGCTGCTGGTCATGAAATTATGTTGGACCTTACATGGGAAGATGCTGCTAAAATTGTCTTTGATAGAATCCAAGAAAGAATTATCAACAAATGAAAACTTTCTTTCATTATCATTATTATTGTATATATTTCCAATCTTTTTACGTTATTATATAATTTTCTTTACGAATTTATTTTGCTTGCTATTTTTTTTTTCGAAAATCATATTCCTTGTTTGAAGATGTCAATACATTAAAATGTGGCACGAATAAGCCATGGCCTTAGGATTAATACAACGTTCAATAAAAATTATTTACGTCATATTAGACATTCAAAATCATAAAGAATTTTTTTTTACGAGGAAAGAGTTCTAATTTGCTCGTATTTTTAGATTTATTCATGCTTTACAAAAGTTCATGTAACCTTTAAAAGATTTATTTGTTAAAAGTTCCTTTAAACCTTGTATGCCACTTTGAACTTAAAATAAATTTGAATGAAACTAGTTTTCCTTACCGTTATTAGTAAAAATTTTCTGCGTTGACACTTATATCAGTAACCGGATATTCAATGTAACACGAATCGTCTCATTGAGTAATAAAAATGTGGACTTGTCATTGCTGTAAAGCTGTATTTGAACAGGTTCGAGTTAAAATTCAAACGAAACTCGCAGAATTCATCATTAAATGGATAGAGAGAAAGTTAAAGGATTAAAAAGAAGGTTCTACAATAAATTATTTATTAATGATAACTTATTAAACCATTGATATAAAACAAAACGTGCGTTGGCGTGAAGCGACCATCAAAAAAAAAAATTAGTCATTTTTTTTTTGTGTGACTACATTTATTTTAAAAATGTTATAATTTTGGAATCAGAGACTGAGCCGACTTTGTAACAATAAAAGCAAGCCTCATCAGATCATTTCGGTCGAATTTGTAATTTTATGCCCGACTGAAAATGATAATATTACTAAAAATAAAATAAAGTTAGTTTCACAATTTCAAATGAGGTCACGACTCTGTCGGCGACCGAACGGGACTAACGACTGACCGAGTCTACTCCGCCACTATTTTAAAGGTTACCGAGTCAAAACCTATGAAAAATCTACAAAAAAAAAAAAAAAAGAATTCGGAATTGAAACGGGGATTACGTGCCGAAATCTTTTTTTCGAATTATTTATTTATTTATTTATTTTTTTATTTTTTTTATTTTTTTTTTTGCAAGGTACATTTTGATAAGATAATAATAGACCATTGGAATTTTAACAATGTTCTGCTTCTCTTGGAAATAAAACAACTTGAATTCCTTCAAAATGTAACATATGATGCAATAATGATGTAATATCAAAAATAAAAATATTTTTTTGAAACCAGATTGAAACAACTTTTTCGCTTCGTCACCTCTCACAAATTATTACACTCTCACAAATCATGTTTCTAATCGAATGCATTGATTTGATAGTCATGTTAATCCCAACAATACTAACTTTTTTGACCGTTACAGCCAATCATTCAAATCATTATACGCACATGATGAGCGATATCTGAATCAGAGAAGGTTTCGTTTGGATTTCATGAATTGAAACAATTAACGTGCGTGGACCCTGAACAGAGAGAACTTGAAATCCTTTTTAGGTACATCCATTGAACTCGGAATACCCATTTTCCGAGACAATCCCGATCTGAAAAAAAAAAGATTGTTGTACCAAAAATCATAACTCCGAAAACTAAATCATAAACTGAATTTCATTTAAAGTAGAATTTGATTGTACTTCAATGGGTGCAGAAACATCAGGAATGACCCTTGAAAATGTTTCAACATCTGCAATTAGTAATTAGATAGGTATTAATGAAGCTTCAAATGTATCATTAATTGAGGTACTGTATATTATTAAAACCACAAACAACCTTCTGAAACGTTTATCGTCGATACTTTGTTTATTTTTGGTTGGAACAATCCTCACAAGGCAAGGGACAAAGGAACGTTGGAAAAGACGTGCGTGCGTAAATTTCGAACAACCTTGCCGCTCGACTGAAAATAATTCACCGATAAATTTTTTAGACGGGAATCACGCGAAAAAGAATTCGAAAGAATTCAAGAATACGTTGCACTTTTTTTGGTAAGAATGACCTCAACATTGTAAAGTTAGCCAAAATCTTAAAACCATCACTGGGATTCAATTGAATGGTTTTAGATAATCTCTTAGATAATTGTAGATTTCAATTAACCCAAGGGAAATAAAAACATTTGTTCATTGTGAAGGAATATAATGATTCCATCTTGAGTAAGATTGATAAACGGGACTTCCGCATGATTTCGAATTGGAGAGAGATTTAATTATATGCTATGCAAGAATATGCATGATTTCACCGCGCTTTTTTATTTTTTATTGCCTTTTATATGCATGTTGTAATTACTCGGTCGTACGATTACGTATGTGATAAAACTCACGTGATAAACGTACGACCCACGGGGTCGCACGATAATAGAATTTGATGATGCCTTGATGTTTACAAATAATTTTACCACTTAAAAAAAAATAAGGGAGAATTATTATTAATATAATCGATGGCCAAATTACCAAGTTCAGCTCGGCTAAGGTCATTCAATATTCATTTTCCGATTCAAATTCCCATTTTTTTTATTTTATTTTTTTGTTTTAGGAAAATGCCTTCCTTAATGAACCAAAACGTTGTTAGTCATTCGATACAAGAAAATTCGGCCGAACAAATCCGAAGGGGGGAGTATTATGTAAAAAAGTAAGTTGCCGAACCATTATATAAATCAATTCATGTACGCTTGTTTACTTCGCCATACCATGCTTTTCATACATTTTACTGCAAATCGTTAGTCAAAAAAATTAGAGTTAATTTTTTATTTGGGAAATTACAATACCCTTTTTATTCATTGTTATTATTATAAATAACATTTCGAATAGAAATGGAAAAGAATTTAATAATGAGGACAAAAAAAAAAAAAATTTTTTTTTTTATTGTTTGTTCTTTAGCAAAATGACATTCTTTCTGATAACAAAAAAATCTACTTAACAATCAAACACGTTTTACCCTCAAACATTTTCTTCCTTCTCATCGAATCATTCCCATCTCTTTATTGAAATAAATTTAGACAATAGAAGATCTGAAGAATTTCTAGTCAGGGAACGAATCAAGTTTGGTTGTGAAGAAAAAAAGAAAAGAAAGAAAAATAAATAAATAAAGAAAGAGATTGGAATTCGCCAATGTTTTTCTCTTTCTTCAAAAAATAAAGTCAGATGATGAACATTCCTGGACAAGTTCTTATTTTCTCATTTTGTGAGACGGCGATTGGTCTCCGATTCACATTGATTGATTACCCAATTTCATTACTTCTTTTTTATTTTTTTATTTTTCGCAAGATGACGATCGTCTTGTACCCTTTATTTTGACAGAGTTTGACGGAATAGAATAAACAATGATAATAAAGGTGAATAACTGACATCATAAAACTTTATATAGCTTCCACAAAATTTCCTTAACCATGTAATTTTTTTTTTCATTTGTAAAATACAACTGTACATACCCGCATATTGCATGCCCTTTTTTTTTAAAACACATTAATTCCGAAATAAGTTGGGCGCATCAACTTTTTTTTTTTAAAAAAAAGAAATGCAAATTGCTAACCCTATCATCCCTCAAATTTAGAATTGGCTTTGTGATTAATTTTAGAATACGTGAGGTTGTATAAATTGTCGCAACACAAACAAACACACAACACATACAGTATATATATAAATAAATAAATAAAATAAAATAAAAAAAATATATAATATAAAATAAAAATAATAATAAAAAAAAAAAAAAAATAAGAAATAAAAAATTTTATTTTATTTTATTTTATTGTACATTAAGGTGGGTTGTTAAAGAGTTAAAACCAAACCATCCGAACCTTATTCTTTTTTCGTTTTCACTTGTTTATAATTTTTTTTTTTATTTTTTTTTTTTAAAATATATATATATATACATATACATATACATATATTTTTGAATTGGATTACTTTTCGGTTTAGAAATTTACCAAATCGGAATTAGAATTTTTTTTTTTTTCCCTCTACTTGAAAAAAAAAAAAAAAAAGATAATAATAAAGTTAATGCGTGTAAATTGCAGTGTGACACGAAAACTTGATTTCTTATGATTTGATATATAAATATATATTTATATATATATCTAACTATACCTGAAATTTTTTCCAAAAATTATTGTTTAAAAAAAAAAAAAATTTCATAAACCGACACTGTGTTGACGGTTCATACAAAATAAATAATAATAAAAAAAAAAAGAATGACAAATATCATTAAAAAATGCTGCTGTTGCTTCGGATTGAAGAAATCAAATCGGTCACAATTGACGCAACCATCCAAACCAATTCCGAAATGGATGTCGTTTCTTCGACGAAAGCAAGATAATCAACATAACTCTAAAGTTCAAATAAAAGTAAATTCAAATAAAGGAAAGGGCAAGCAAGTAGAAACTGCAAATATCGATGAAATTCAAGAAATTGAAACGCAACAAACGCAACAAAATGAAACGAACGAGCCATTACCTCGACGAAAGGAACGTGATTCAATCATCCAGGAACAAACAATAGAAGAAACACAAAATTCGAATGATAAACAAAATCCAAGTGTTGATACCAAGGGAACACAGGTTGATGTAACACCATCACAACAAAGTTTGAAATGTATACAATTAATTCGACCAAAAAATCTTGGCCTAGACATGCAGGTGGATAACCAGGCAGAACATTTAAATGAGAAAAATGATAAGCAAATTGATAATGTAAATAGTAACGTAATTGTCACACCACCACCAAAACAAAACAAAATAACCAAGAGATTCAAACGATTCAAACGAATTTTTCGACGAAAGAAACCTTGCTCAAATGAGCCGGAAGGAAATTCAATCGTAAATGACCGAAAACAAAGCAGGATAATAATCATCCCAAGTGATTGTTTGCTTGAAATATTCAAATATTTCTCAGATGATCTAAGAACCTTATATTCTTGTCTGCTGGTGGACAAGCATTGGTGTATCAGCACCGTTCGATTAATTTGGAAGAGCCCGTTTCAAAATGAATGTTCCCCGGCTGTTATAGATGTATACCTGTCTTGTCTTTCAAAACACGAAAAAAAGAACCTTTTTGCAAATATCAAGAGCGAAGTGATCCGTTCAATTTTGACAAAGGATGCAACCTTCTACTATGCGAACTTTTTGCGTCAATTAAACATGGACAATTTGCGCGTTGCTGTCGACGCATGGCTCAAAGAACATAATCTCATCGAAAGGTAAATGTGCTGATCACGTGATTTGTGCGTAGCACGCACTTTGGATTGACCTTTTTTTTACCTCCAAAATTTATTCCAACATTATAGGCGGTACCCGGACCTAATATGTCGTGCTCTGTGCCGACTGTTCATAACCAACTGTGAGAATCTCAAATCTTTGTGCTTAAATTGGAATCATTCTAAAATTTCCGGAAAATGGAAGAAATATCCAATATTTCCATATCATCGAGATGCATCGACATTTTTACATAAATTAAACGAACTATCAATTCATCGCGTCAATAAGCGTGACATATTCTTGGATATGGCGAAGCAATCAAAACATCTTAGCAAATTAGAATTATTGGATTATTGCTTTGACAATCTTCAAGATCATCGATACGAATCCATACATAGGCTCATAAAAGATCAATACAACTTGCAACATTGTAAATTATTTGCATACGGACTCTGTCCTATAGTACCCATGAGGGGTTTATACTTTCAAAAGCATTCATTAATTCATTTTGAATTGACTTACGCAAAATTCACCTCCGAGAATCCTCGTGAGGCTTTTCAAGCATTATCAGCTTGTAGTAATTTAAAATTTTTAATCATCGAATATTGTTATTTTGCCAATCAAAATGTTCTTCAACCTTTAATTGAAACAATCTTTCCGCATTTATATAAAGTTCAATTCAAAAATTTACAAAGTAGTGCGGCTGAGATCTTCACTTCTATGATTAAACTTAATTCGGCCTCCTTAAGAGAACTTCATTATTCTGACGATGTTTCACGTCGATCGACTACCTATCCAATCTTGGATGCGATTGTAACACATTCCGCATCATCCCTTGTCTCGCTCACCATTCCCTTTAAGAATTGTCAAACCCCCTATCTAATAAATATCTTATCATTCTTAACACAACTTCAAAGTCTTAAACTAATTGGATCTTATGGTCATGAAAGGGCGTTCGTAGATTTCTTACCTGAACTGGCCAGGTTATTGCCAGTTTCCTTACGACATCTTAGCTTAGACTTGAACTGGGTCATAATTAATACCTTATCCGAATTTTTAACGAATTTGAAAGCTCCACTTAACACTTTATACATTACTGGATGGTCAAGGCAAATTCGTAGTAAACATGTTAAGATGATTGAAAGATATTTACGACAAAATAATCCCGAATTGAGCTTGCACGGTTTTATAAAAGACATCACTTGATATAAAAAAAAAGATATTTTGTAAATAGATTTTTAATAGATTATTATCTTGATAGAAATATTAATAGAACGACGTTTATCTTTTCAGACAAAAGGTGAACGTTTTTGCCCGACACGAACATTTTGCCGATCATCTCCAAAAATGTGTAACCAATAAAGTTGCAGTAAGTTTCGTGTTTCCGACTATTTTTAGTAATTTTTTTAATTAACAATAATAAAAGCATTTGTTTAAAAAAACAACGAAAACTTGCTGCGGATCCGCCGATCGGTGGTCAATTTTTTTAAATTATATGCATTTCTAAATTACACAATTTACACATGATGTAATATTAAAAAACACTTGCGCGTCATTTCGTCATTTGTTAAGTATTTCATCAACAATTACCATATCTGTTCTTGGCATGCCATGAAAATATCCGTTTGCATTTGCATTTGAGTGATGATCAAACATTTGATCGTTAGCAAGTAATTTTTTCTTTTTCTTTTGTTTTTTTTTTCATGAATCAACGGCCTTGTTTAGTGCATCATGTGGGAATGTCCGGCAGATTTTTTTTTCGTGTTGAGCACACAAGGCAAGACGTTTATGGTCAGTGAATGGGCGAGTCTTCATCAAGGAGATTCAATTTGTTTTATGAATTTTATGGATACTTTATCATAATAAAAAATTCTAGCATTGAAAAACGTGATCAACGTCAGTTTCATCTTTAACATGGGTATGTTATTTAGACAACTAAATTTTTTATTTTTTAATAATAATAATGACGCGTTTTCATGTAATTTCAGTTCGGTCTTCTGAGAAGCTGAACAAAGGTGTGAGAGTACTCTGATATTAATTTTTATCAAGACCTAAAGCTTTTTTTTTTTCCTATAAATTGTGAAAGTCAACGTGACCAAAGTTACACATTTGACGAAAAATTCCTTTCAAGTAAGAATGACAAACCACTCGTGTATTAATTTTTCATCAAGCTAACTTTGTGAAATCATGGATATTTAATTTAACAGTTCAAGTTTGTCAACTTTTGAAAGATTGAACTATTCAGATGCGGAGTTATAAGGCATTTTCGTATGAAACTGACGCACCACGCTTTCTTTTTTTTTTTTTTTTATTATTCTCCGATGAAAGATCATGTACAATTTTTACTTAATTTTTTATTTTAATAAAATACAAAAATAATTCAATAAAATCTTTCTCAAATGTAATGTGGTTTTTGAATACCACTTCGGAAATGCTTTTTTTGACTTCAGAAACGTAAATACAATCCAATCCAATGCTGTGAGGTATGTGATTTACAAATTCGCAATGAACTGTTAACATAAACCACAAAATTTTCGAAAAAAGGAATTGTCCCGATTGGATCTATAGACCTATAATACATAACAGGAATGGATGATGGAAGAGATGATGAAGAATAAAACGAAGCAGCTGAAAAAGTAGGAGAATGTGGAGCTAACAGGGGAATAATGAGTAGAAGGAGAAAATTAGAAAGACATTGAATAAAAAGGAGAAGAAAAAGCTACAGCTGTTGGATAGGAAGTAAGGTCGTCTTGTTCCTTGAACGCGAACTTATAGTTCTTTAAAGATATTCCTTAAAATAACATAATATAAATCAAAAAAAACACAAATAAATCTGAAATTATATGATCTAAACATTAAATATTGAATATGAAATTCATTATAGTTGTTCATTCGTTTAAAGCCTAACGATGTAAATATCGCTAACCTTTATCAAATTAACTTTTTTAAGAATGTAAATCATTAACATTTTGCCATATTCAAAAAATTATATAAATAATTTAAAATGGCCAAAAGAAAAAATTTATTTCCGCAAAGAATTAAACCATTGAAATTCTCGGTATAAACTATCAGAAGAATCAGTGTCCACACATATCATCTTAACAATAATAATAAAATTCAAACCTTATCAAACCTTTATCTTAAATACCTTAAAATATGACGTTCAAATAACTATTTATGGAGATAACTTTTCTATTGGAAAAAAGAAAATGTCAAAAGAAAAGTTGCAAAATAATTTAATTGGTGATGACAGCCGTTTGGGTCGAATACGATCGACTTTGTAAAAACACCCGCATGGACTCCCAATAATATCTTCAAAGACTGAGTTGTGACTGAGTCATGACAAGTCAAATTTAGTAAAGTGATATGCAGAATTCTCAATTCTCGCAATTCAATTTTTAATTCTGGCCAAACTTATTCCAAGCTAAAAATGATAAATTCATTGATTTCGTGTCACGCTTTAAAAAATCACGTGGAAAATTTGCTTTTTTTGAATTTTCCTTTGAAATTGTCTTCTTAAAACTTCCATTCAGAACATCTACAAAGAAAATAAACAAAAGTGGTAACATAAAGAAAAAAAAAAAGAGGACAAAGAACAAGGTGCATTGTGAAAGTGAAAAAACAATCATCCATAAACTAATCATCATCTTTTCTATAAATGATTGCCTTGTTGTCTTTTTCTACAATATTGCAGAAGAAAACATGTCCAGAAAACATACAGGTCCGTACAGAAAATGTCCGGAAAACTTCTGGTCATCAGGAAAAAATCTGGAAAATGCACCGAAACTTCAAAACTTCGAGGCATGAGCTGTTGCAGATTTTGGAACGTTTTCTGTACGTTCTATGGGGAAAATTTTGCTGCACGAGAATTTTCTTTGATGTTTATTTACATTACGGTGGTTTTTAGGTGCAGAAATTCAATTTGAATCCATGTACTGCTGCGCCATAAAAGCTTAAGTCGCAAGCTTTCTTTGAAGAGAGAAACAATATTTATGTTTGTTGCTCTGCAATCTCTCAAAGGGTTTTAGATGAGATTGCATTAATTATGATTATAATTATTATTATTATTATTATTCTTTAAAAAAAAAGAAAAAAAAAAGATGATCAAATATATATATGATATTATTGTAATATCTATATATATCCATATTATTTTCTTAAGAAGGCGTCGAGAAACCATTGATTGGTTCATCTAAATTTTTTATCTTTATAAAGTTTCAAAAAAAAATAGCACCTTGTACCGAAATCATAATTTCATCAATTTAACTTACATCATACTTACGGTAATTCTTGCTCGGAATTCTTTTTTTTTTTTTTTTTTTTTCGGAAAATAATTAAATGAACCTGCATGCACATGTGATTTAAGAATTTCGGCGTCACCGAAAAACCAAGGCACCGTTAAATTTTTGTCAAAAACTATTGGATGGGAATGCAAATGTTGTAATAAAAAAAGAACAGGGGGAATTACAAATTTGAAAATTTTAGTAGTTTTTGTTCCTTTTTGATAGATTTCGGAGTTTCTCCCAAATAACGCCGATGTTGTTGATGAAATAATCAAAATGAGCCGGTTTCAATTTCCTTTTCCTAAGAGAGAAAAAATAATGTTTGTTTAAAGCCCCGGTCACATGGTATTTAACTAATGGATGACAAAGGATTATTAGTATCTGATACAATAGATATAATCACATCCATTTCATTACATAACGAATATGCTTTTATCACATTTATCACTTGAAATTTATAAAAAAAAAAACTGTTAAAAGACTTATAGGTGATTCGCGATTAAGTTCGATCCTATAATTTTAATTTTAATTCCCGGCCAAAATTCATTGGACGATTTTAGTCGATTTGACAATTTCAAGCTCGAATAATTTTTTATTAAATAATATCGTTCAATAATAAAAAAAAGATTGTAATACAAGCTTGAGATTTGAAAAATGTTTATTGGAATTTTTTATTTGTATTAACAGATGTGAAGATTGCCGATTTTTATTGCATTTTAGTTTGTTATTAATTTTAGTCAAAAATTCTCAGAACCTGAGTTTTCTAACAACGACGCCAAATTATTCTCCCTCTTTTTTTTTTTTATTTATACTAACATTAACGTTAAAGTCCGACGAATGAGGAAGATGTGTATAATAAATAAGCTCGAATCGGTGGCGGAGGCCTTGCCGTGCTAGGACCAACCAAAAAGGTCGACCACGTACATTTAACTTTCAACCAGGTCAAAAATGGGGAGTCTGTGTCAAATTATAAGTATTGTAAATACTGTATTGTATACAGTATAATACTATAATATGAAAAATCCGATGATACAGTCAGATGATCAGCAGACGTAAAAGTTTCGAGAACAAATGGAACCATTCCAGATTTATTGACGCTGATAGACGACGGATTGTCTGTTGACGCCCTGACGCCCTGACGATATAAGCCTAGTGCCAGTCATCACGCTGTTTCTGCATCCAATTTCCAAAAATGAGTTATCCTCGGGGAATTATGGCACGATCAGGCAGATTTTTCGTATGCAAGTGCATTTGATATCAATCTCATTGACACGTTAACACGTTATTTGTACATAGAATATATGTTTGGATATGTACTGCTGTTTATGAAAAGGTTTAGTCTTCAAAAACAAAAAAAAATTACCTGATACAATGAATAAGAAAGTAAAATAACATATGGGGGTTATTTTTATAATAATTATTTATTAATAGTTTGAATTTCCTAAATCACATAATATTTGTTACCTTAATATGTATTAGAGTTTAATTCTGGTAAATAACAACAAATGATGCCAAGCATTGAATTTATATCCGTTAATTTCTAAATTTAACCCATCTTATCGACTTTGCCGTCGCATTATACTTGAAAAAGGTTCTTTTAAATTACGATGATGGTGCATTTTATTCCTTTAGCTCGTTTATTTCTTGAATCCTCTTTAAGGTTTGAAGATTGAATCCTCCTTTAGTACTTCGGTAAAGTGCTTTTTTTTTTTTTTTTTTATTTTTATTTTGAAAAAGGTCCAACACCTTTTTTTTAATTATTATTCTATTTATCAAGATAAATTTTTTTTTTCCATTGAATACCAATGAAATAGAGATATCAAAAAAATATATACATTTATTTATATTAATTAAATGATTTTATGTAGTAATTGATAAATCGCAAAATATTTGAAAAAAAAAAAAATAATCCCACATTCAATTCAAACTTTTGTAATTTAATAAAAAGTTGTTATTTAAATGAATTTTTTGAAGTAATAAACTTCAAAAAAAATATAAAAAAGTAATAATATATAATATTTATAATACATAATATATCTAATTAATTTAAATAAAAACATTTTTTATAAGTAAGGTTTAATTTGATCAAATAAATGAAAGTCAAAATCAATTGTCCTGCCAGAATAAAAAGCATTGGGATGATGTCGATAAGAATTCTTGAAATTAAAAGGAATTGATTCACCATCAGAAATCATACACCAATTTAAAGTAAAAGCAATGGAATTAATAGAAGGCCTTTTTGCCGGATCGGATTCCCAACATTGATTTAAAATCTCAACAAGGTCCTTTGGAGTACCCAAAGGAATTTTAGGCCTTTTCCCATTACATATGTCATAAGCAAGGGAGGAATCGTGAGCGTTATTTGTGTAAGGTAATTCTCCTGAAATGATACACCAAAAAATCATTCCGAGGCTATAAATGTTTGAAGATTTTGTATGTTTTCCCCCTTTGAGTATCTCTGGAGCAACAAATGGCATCACACCAAATATTTTTGAATGTCCTTGTTCTTTTATCGAACGACACTTTTCAATGTCGCTTATATAAATCTTTTGAGTTAATTGAGAAGTTCCGGAACATGATTCGTTTAATAGGATGTTGCCAAGATGTAGATTTGTATGTACCAAGTTAGATTCATGAATGATTTTGAGAGCCTGCACAAAGTTACTAAATATTTCCTTCTTTTTTGCCCAAGATAATGACGATGAAAATTTGACAAGTGTGTTGGGGTCATTCAAGGATTTCATGTTGGCGTATTGTAAGACTAGCATATAATCTTGCGTCAATGGATCCTTTGTAATTCCATAACATTTTGGAATCGTCTCATCCAAACACACATGATAATTCTTAATCTATGATGATACAAAAAAAAAGGAGGGATTAATTTCAAAATAACCGAGTCAAGAAGGGAACTAAATTATTTAAATACTCACACTATGTATGAACTCTTTAACCATACGACCAGAGTTAATGATTCGTTTCAACACAACAAATTCCGAAATATGCGAGTCAGGAGCAATGAAATATTTTGGCACAAAAAATTCATCGTGACTCATCTCAGCCAATTCATCATATTTGATCATGGCATAATAAACCTCGCTAATCCCTTCATTACCACCAATTAATTGTATACGTTTAAATATATTATAATTAAACCAACGAAAATATCCATGAACTTCTTTTGCATTTAATTGACTTTCTTGAATAAAATGATTTAATTCATCATCTTCACTCGTCCATGTGGAGAATCTTTCCAGGAAATATTTTGTTCTACAACCTTTACACCAATATTTGTTAATTAATTGCTCTTTACATCTATTGCATAACATGTTTATAAATTTTTTTTTTAAAAAAAAAAGGTGGTTTATCAAATTAAGGAATATTTATAGAAAATAAAGTTTGATCATCAGATAAATAATAGGTTGTGATACTCCGTAATAGCCGAATCACGGAATTCGAATTCCTTCACAAGTTTTAAGATTTTAGACAACTAATAAAAAATATAAAGTTTGGTAATGATATTCTTTACGTTTCGGATTACTACCTAACCTTTTGATCGAATTCTATATTTAATAAATCGGGTAACACACATTAATAAGTTCTAATTAAATATCTGTCTGCTTTTACGATGAATTAAAAGTAAAATTGCGATGGTACATTTATCTTTGCTCCTTTACAAACTGTGCAGAATATACCACATTTATATATTGGAATTCTGTTTTTGATTGAATCTTTACAAAAAGGAAGTTGTTGTTACTTCATCATACTTTCTATAAGGTAATTTCGAGTTGGAGAAAATTAAAATGATTGTTTTATGGAAGTAGATTTCTTTATAAAAAGAAGGGAACTTTGGCCTTGGTATTATTCCACATGTGGGAATAAATTTGTTTCTACTGTATTGTGAGAAAAGTTATTGTTTAAATGATTTCGTCACTTGACTTTGACATTTCCTAATATAGCTTTATATGGAAGCCGAATTTTGTATGATTGTAAGAATCAAAAAAACTTATCAAAGAAAACGTTATAAGCAAGCAAGAAATAAATCGCTTTTTGATTAAACAAAAAAGAAATTTCATTTCGCTTTTAAAATTATGTATACAGTAGTGATGTTCTTTATACATTACATATAGATGACATCTATTAAAACATATTTAGATAAAATGTTTGTTACGATCGGCTTGGTTAGATTTATTACGTAAACCGCATGGGCATATCGTAAATCTTCGATTCATATATAAATAAATGGTTTTAAAAGAAACATTCTTCATCCATTTCACAATTCCTTTCATCTCAATTAATATCCCGACAATCAAAATACTCATATTACAATAATTCCCTTAATGATATAAAAACTTTTTTTTTTGATTAGAAATTTATTTTGTAATTTAATTTTGGCCTTTTTTTTTTATATAAAAACGGAAGAAAGTTTTTAAAGCTTACAAATGAGGAGAAACAACCTTTTTTTTCAGAAAAAGTTAAAATATAAAAAAAAAAAAATGTGGAAAAAAGAGGATGAATGTACAGAGTTGATAAATGAACTTTTCCTTTGGCATATCATACAGTATTCGCCTTACTTATATAAGTTATTATAGGTGAAAATTAAATCTTAATTATTATTTGTTCTTTTTTTTGTTTTTTTCTTTTTCTTTTTTCTTGTTTTTTTGCATAGTTTACTTTTTTTTTTTACTATTCACAAATCACACATCGTTTCGTACATTTTAGACACAATCATAATTTTTTGTTATATACAT